GTTCTTGGACTTGTAAATGTCCTGATGCCAGAGGGTGAAATTTATCTGCCTTGAAATTGCAAAATAGGTTTGTACAGTGGAGAGTGTTGAACCTCCAGTGGTCGCCACGGGAGACAGTGAATAAGACATGGTTAAAGCAGAGCTCCCACATAGACAGCGCCCCTCTCTTTAAAGTTTTTCTACACAATCAAATGTCTGCTGTTTTGTGACTTTTTTTTTTTTTTTTTTTTTTTTCCTTTTTGCTGTTCATCCATCACTAATGTCCTTCAGGAAGCCCACTAATGGAGTTTTAGAGGATGGTGCAACGGGAAACAGAGGAAAGGAGGAGGGGCTCTTCCTCAGAGTTTAGATCCTGTTTTGGCCTCCTGTTTTCACAATGCTGCTTTATGCTCTGAAAAATAATTCATATTTTTACTTCCGTGACAATAGTGTTGTGTAATCACATTTGTGAACGTAATTAAGTTTGATTAAAAGTTTTCTATTGCATAAACTCTAATTTAACTTGTCCCAATTTATGCCCTGTTTAGTCCTGACTTAGTTCGGTCCTGTTCTAATCTTGGTTCTGTCTTGGGCTTTAGTTTTGAATTTAGTGCTTATTTTAATGTGATGATGTGCAATTGTGGCTTAGACTTTTTAAGGAATTTCTAAAGTGGTGTTTGTTTGTTTTTTTGTTTTTTGCCTGTCAGTCTTGTGTGGGTGTTGTGTTAATAATAATAATTGTTAAAGGGGGATTGTGTAACTTCTCTGGTGGAGTGTCCATCAAATGCTTTTCTTCATGGAAATATTATTGCTTTGTCTGGAATGTTTCACAGTATGGTATTAAACCATTCTGTCTTCAAGGAGACCAAACCAAACTAAGTAACAGGTCAGGTCTGTGAAAAGGAAACCTCACTCACAGTTAGAATGTTTATGGTTTAAGGTATTTTTGAACTATAAAACCACCTGCGACTAAATAACTGTAAGGTAGATCTGTTTAACGTCATACTGTGGAACATTCCAGGCAGAGCAATGACATATCCATAGAAACAAGCAGGTGATGGACCCCCAACCAAAAAGTTACATAGTTCACCTTTAAAATATCATACACTGGTAATTTAGAGAATAAGGCCCTGGGGCTTATGAGTTTAATAATAGATTTTACAAATAATCATCAGATGAAAATATTTCAGTATATTACAGTAATCGTAGCACTGAAATTTGATATCATGACATCCCTATGTTAATACTGACAAGTTTCAAAATACAGCATCCAAAACCAGGCCACATTGACTTAAATAGATGATTAGTGAGCTGTGCTGTGCTTGTCCAGTGAGGTGATTGAGTTTTGAATGTAGAATGTACAGCAGAGGGGGTGGTGGGCTGAGACAGTGGAGGACAGACACAGACTGCCTTTTGAGATTCTGCTCACACGTCTCTGAGTGTCTCTCTGTCTCTGAAGTACAGAGGCAAAAGGACTCCTCTCATCCAATAACACAAAATATACACTCCACATTGCCTTATTAGTGACAAACACAATGGTAAACATATGATAGAGTTTATAGTTTATCTCATTACTGACACTGTGGACTGCTGGGATTATAGTGGCATGGGTACAGAAAGTCTGATCCACCTGTACTATTAACTGCGTTTTTAAGATGTTTTCTAGTCAGCAATGAAGTGGAAAGTATAACTCAGTATTTATAATTAAAGGATCCATATTATATGCTATTTTCTCATCTATGTTACAAAAACATACAGTTCTGTTTTGTTTCATTCAAACATGTTTAACACACAACCACTGCAGTCTTTTTTCTCAAAGTCATACACTCCACCTTGTGATGTCATGTGATAACAGGCATACAGGAAGTGCTCCAGCCTTGGAACTGCCAATCTTTACGAGCAATTGGTTAAAAAGTAGCTGTTCACTTGAAAACTACAGCTACATGACATTACAAGCTGGAACAGAGCATTTTAAACTTTGGAAATGTAGACCGACCCAATTATAAAATACAAACTCAAACCTATGTGAATGAAACAAAACACAACTCCAAATAAGTTTTTGAGGAGGTAACAGCATTATAACATGGCTTAAAGTTCACTAGAGTCAATTTTGCGTAATATAGCCCCTATAACTAGTAAATAAAACAGCTCTATGTATACTTAACTCAACTTTTGTTAAGAATATTTGGTGAATATTTGTCTCTGCTGTTCTTATCAATAACTGTGTATTAACTGTGTGTAACTATGTACTACATTGTTAGTCTAATTTATAATTGTGTATTCTCGTACTTTATTGACCTATAGGAGTATCACTCTCTCGATATATTCAGTCAAAAGTCAAACATCTATAGCCTTATCCTCTCTTTGTTTTGTTCTTCGCACTAACAGAGCCACATCATCTAAAGCTCTAAATATTCTCTGCCATGCCTTGTTGTTTATGAAGTGGAGCAGGATACAAGGCTGTTGGTCTGCCCTGCTGCTGAAGGATCCTCCTGGAGAGTGAAGCTCTGAATAATTAATGTAACAAATGAGTTTGTGGAGGGGAAGCATGTGTTTATCAGAGAACGTACTCCATGTGGACTGACCCCAGGCCTCAGGTTTCAGCACGACTTTACCTCAATTCAGTTAACAAAGTGCTCACCAAACTTGTATTTCTCCTTTAGAAAATGTTCTAAAGGTCCTATATTATGCAAAACAGCTTTAAGCCATGTTAGAATGTTATTACCTCCTCAAAAACATACCTGGAGTTGTGTTTTGTTTCATTCACACATGTTTGAGTAACCCTGGTTTATTAGTCTGGCTGCATCTCAAAAGCTCAAAATGCTCTGTTCCACCTTGTGATGTCATGAAGCAGTAGTTTTTGAGTTAAGACCCACCTTTAATCTTCTGTTCAGTAGAAACTGGCAAATACAGGTCTGAAATTATCCAAATGATTCTAGTGTATGGAGTTTTAAAGCACAATGGAGCACTTCCTGTATTGCATGACATCACAAGGTGGTGTTTTCTGTTTAAGAGAAGAACATAGCCTAGATAGGGTGTGTGAATTAAACAAAGCTCAAATCCAGGTATGTTTTGATGAAGAAACAACATTATAACATTGATCAGAAAATGGCATAATATAGCTCCTTTAAGAGAAACCATTGCAAAGTATGACTAAACCAAAGAAAACAAGACTGCAGTTTTGTACAAGATAAAATATTTTAATTTGTTTATTCAGAAAAGGTTACTCTTGCCTTAATATTATCTTTGTTAGGGATAGAGAATGGCACACTTGTGGGGTGAGGCAGAACTCCAGCATTTGTTTATTTATTTACTTGTTGTTGCTGTATTTAGAAACATGCTTTGTCAGCAGGTCAGGTAGATTTTCCCCCTCTTCCCCATGCACAAACTCACGTACACAGTGCTTTGTCCTCTCCCCTCCTTCTGCTCATGCTCTCCTCACTGCAAAGGCACACTCAGCAGACCTACAAGCTACCAGTGGATACAGGCATTTTAACTAATCCACAGCTCAAGTCGGAGAATGAGAGAAAACACGGAAATCTTGCTTCTGAGGATAATGTGGAACAGTCAAACTAAACCCCATCTCTCACCGATTGACCTCCATCCATCCAAGTCCATCTGTCCACACTATAGACAGAGCAGAGCTAGACTGGACTAAACATCTCAGTATTTGCAATATTATGGCAAGACAAGTTTATTTGTTGTGCATAATCTGTATACAGAAATGTAATGTGTCATGCGTTCTTACCATACACTTTATATATAAATGGAGATAGCAGTGTGTTCCAAATAGGAAGTATTCATGGGAGCACTTCTGGCTCTATTGACTCCAGTTGACTTTACATTGAAAAATTGTTACCCTTCTCTGTAACCACTGCAGTAAACCTCATCATTTTGACCTTAATATGTTTTGTATTAACCCGCTCTGCATGATCTTATTGTTTTTATTTTGCCATTTTGTCAGTAAATAAATAACATCGAACTGCTGGCATCGTGATCTTAATTTGACTGGAGCTGGTGACGTTACATTCACTTAGTCCACTTCTTTATACGGTCTATGGTCCTTACTGTAATGTGAGCAAGCTTGCATCTCCATAAAGCAGACTTCTCTTTTTTTTGTCTCCATGGAAATGACATGCTACCTCCAGTCACATACTCTACCTTTAAACAAACCTCAACCAAGTGTTTTGGTTGCAACTGAATGGGCTGTTAAATGAAATCCTGTTTCATTTAACAGCCCATTGTTTACTCTGTGCCCAAAGATACAGCCATGCCATCAGTCCACTTTTATCTAGGCTCTGATTAAACGTGCCTGACCTAAAAACTTAGCTACCAGAAAACTTCAGACACTGAGTTTCAGCATCTTCCAAACAACACTATAACGCACTAGCTCATGGAGACAAGAGCACAATTGTAAACTGTTGTGGCTCACTGTTCACCTTTTCCTTTAATTTTTAGAGGTTCTCTTTAGAATTCTTTAGAAGAATTTAGGGTCTCTATGCATTCTGAGATATTGACAATTAAAGTTCTGACCACTCACAGGGCATAGTGGGGGGGCATGGGTATTTGCTTGTAAACCTAAAAATGTACCACCTATAAGATCTTGATAAAAGAGTACAGAAGGTATTCAGGAACAAGAGTATATGGATTATTTAATTTAGACAATATAGACAGCTGTAAAACCTTATTACTGTAAAGGAACAAGATGCAGAAGTTTGCCACACAGCTGCCTGGTTTTTGCGCCCAGTGTGTGAGAGGCCAGTGCAAGGGGAAGAGAGGGCGAGGGATGTGAGGAGGGGGTGAGGAGGGAGTCTGTAGCACAATGGCACAGGAAGTAGACACAGGCAGTGCTGATGGGTGCCAGTGCCGCCCGTCTGGGAACATAATAAAAACACCCATGGGATACAAATAATCCTAGGAAATTATCCCACAACAGGAAGTGTCTCATACATGAGCAGACAGCAGGGGGAGACCTAGAGTCTGAGCTGAATTGACAGTTGGTTTGTTTATGTCTTGTTCAGAGCGCTGCAGCTGCCCCCAGCCCTGTCCTCGGCAGTCTGCCCCCAGGAGAGGGCATGCCTGTGGGTCCTGTACCACCAGGATTCTTTCAGGTATTGAACACAAAATATATACGAGAGCCTGAAGTTAAGTTCACTTCAGTTTATTATACTGTAAAGTATAGGTATATAAAAGTATACATATTATAATAACATGTATAAATATTATAATAACATGTCAGTCATTTTGCATATTATGTAGCCTAGTTTCCTAAATGAATCCTAAACAGCACTTCTGATGAAAATGACTCTAAATGTTTGAAATACTGTTCACAAAACCTTTAATAAAATATATGAGTACAGTAATACTTTTCTGAATCTAAAATGTGACCTAGGTTTTGTTTTAAATAAGTACATGCAGGATAATGTCTGCTGTACAAACATTATTGTGAAGAAATTAAGACTAGGTACTATGACCAAAAAAAATAAAATAAAAAATCCCTTCATATTAATCAATTTCACAATTTTTTGTTCAATTTGACTTTGTCCTAAAACAAATAAAGCAAAGTCAGAATTTTTCTCCAAACAGATGCTTTTACTGACAGGGGATTGACTGTAGAATTCCAATTCCACAAACTGATCACTGACAATTAGAAATTACTGAATCTCGATTTTCAAATTCGATTGACTGCACAATCCTCGACCAACAACAAAAAACAGGCAAGCCGTTAGAACACAGGCTAATCATCACACAAGCAGATTAGCATGCTCTCTGCTGTAACCACTTATGGGCGTCACAAAAGAAAATCTAACTGGACAAACTTATCTCCAGGCACATAAAGCCTCAGTCTCTGCCCAAATACTCTGACCGCTGTACATGGATTAGACGTCATTATCAGTCCGCGTCAGACTGTAGCTTTTGACACCAGATCAATAGTTTTTTATCAGATTTTCTTTGCTCGCTCTGAAAACTCAAACTTGAAGCTAAACGGATATTTTCTTTTATAGACTGATTGTTTCTTGAAAGTATTGTCAAAGCCAATAAAACCAGTATAAGTCAGATCAATTGTGCTATGAGCTTGATACTAAAGTATATACTCAAACATAAATTTAGGTTTAGGAACACCCCAGTTGATTAAATGAGCCAGTGCTTTGTAATGTGTTGTAATTGTACTAAGTGACCTTAAAAGCAATGTTTGATAGAAATGCCTAAAGGACACGAGAATCTAGTGAGTGGAGGTGGACCATTGCCATCTAGTGGTATTATCTGCTAGTACATGTAAGCACAGCTGGGTTTGGGACTGCTTTTAACATAATCATTATTTCATTCTCTTATTTGTTTGCATTTTCTAGCCCTTTATGTCACCTCGTTATACTGGAGGACCCAGACCACCCCTCAGATTACCAAGTCAGGTAAGAATGACACAAAGGTTGTTTAGAGTTTGATTTGCAGTGAAATTATACACTGCAAAACATGGCTTGAATTCTCAATATTAATATCATGAGCAGGTTTCACTAGTTTAGATTAATTTAGCAATTCAAGCCAATTAGGTGTAAAAGGTATTTCACCTTTTTGGCCATTCAGAAAAGCAATTATCGTTTCAAAAGTACTACGCATTCTAACCCATGCTAAAGATTATTTATTTATTTATTTTTTAGTGTGTAACTGCCCATCAGCAACAAGGCAGTATTTATGACTGTACACTGTTAAAAGGATTGGATTTATAGTTTCACATGATCTATGATTTTGCATGCAGACACTGGGAGGGGTCCCTGGAGGCCAGCCAATGCTACCAAGTGGAATGGACCCAACGAGACAACCAGGTACTTACTACTTCTGTGTATCATTTGGACTACTAATGTTTACAGTTATAACTGAAAAACAAAATGTTTTCAGGACATCCCAATATGGGCGGCCCAATGCAGAGGATGACCCCGCCCAGAGGCATGGTCCCCCTGGGGCCACAGGTAAAAGACCTCATGCTCGATGTATGTACAGTGTAAGTGTATCTGATGAGTCTATGGTCTGAAGCAAAGCAAGTAAGACACGTCTGTTTTCAGAACTATGGCAGTGGCATGAGACCACCTCTCAACGCCCTGGTTGGGCCTGGTATGCCGGGTATGAACATGTGAGTTTATGTTTTCACATCTTAAATTAATATATACCCATGAAACGTATTATTTTTTTCAAAAGATGAAAGAATCATCTACATAAATTCCTTTCGAATGTCCTGAAACTAAAAATGTGGTGTAAAAATGTTCTAGTAATTGGTTAACTAATAATAATTGACTTTGGAGATTGGTGAGACGTGTGAGAACTGCATCAGAAAAGTTTGTGACCTTAGAGTCAGTTGGAGAAATGTACTTGTATCATCAATGTTGTAAGTTTATCTAATTGTTTCCAATAAAATATTGTATCAGAGCATGTCCCTTTTTCTCCACAAGGAAATTAATCCAATATTTTGTAACAAATTGAATGAAAAAACCTTGTTTATTCAGAAATAATACAAGTTGCTGAAAACTCTAAGTTAAAAGACATTATAACCAACAAATAAAGTAAGTAAGCAAGTGTTACCTAAAGCACAACTGTGCATCTTTCAGGGGACCTGGGGTGGGGAGACCATGGCCAAATCCTTCAAACACTAACTCCGTAAGTTCCACTTTAAAATATTTGATATTTTAGTTTTCACAATCATCTGAATTTGTATCTGTTTTTTGCAGACACCTTACTCATCAGCATCCCCTGGGAGTTATGTGGTAAGGGCGTGTTCAGTGTGTTAAGTTCAAACTATCCCATATCTACAGATACATTATTTTAGTGCTATTTTAGGGACCACCAGGAGGGGGGGGTCCGCCTGGAACACCTATAATGCCCAGTCCAGCAGGTACACTTTCTCTATCTGTGCAAAGACAGTATACAATAATAGCAAATACAGAAATGAAACATTTACAATTTTTTTCTTTTATTTTTTAGATTCAACAAACTCTGGGGATAACATGTACACACTGATAAACACAGCTCCCTCTAGTGGAGGCAGAACAAATGTGAGTTGGTGTTCTCACTTTTTTTCCTTTAGAGAGCTTTAAAGATCATCTTAGAATGATATGGTTCTCTCTATGGTTCTAAGATATTGAAGTGACACAGCACAGTGGAACAGGGACGTGGGTATTTGTTATACACCTAAAAATGCCTGATAAAAGAGTATTGAAGGTATTCAGGAACAAGAATATATTAATTATTTACAATAGAAGCAATGTGTGTAAGAAATGTTGGTAGGATATGAGAATTTGAGTGGAAGTGGACCATTGCTGTCCGATTGCATCCTTGTTTAACGGTCCTTAATCAACTCTAAACTCTATTATTTACTGTCTCTAGTTTCCAATGGGGGCTGGGGGCGAGGGTCCTTTGAGTGGCATGGCAGGAATGGAGTCTCATCACATCAATGGTTCATTAGGTATTCAAATGTCTAAGGTCTTATTTTCACACATAAATTGAGTTTACATCCATTTAATTATTATTTTTTTTTATTTTAGGGTCTGGTGATATGGACAGTTTGCCCAAGGTAAAACTTCATACTGTTTTCTTAATGTATATATAACTTGAAATGTAATATGTAAAAGTATTGCTTTATTCTTATCCAATGCCCAGAACTCCCCTGGTAACTTGAGTATGAGCAACCAACCAGGAACTCCAAGAGAAGAAGGAGAAATGGGCGGGAATTTCCTTAACCCTTTTCAAAATGAGAGTGTGAGTAAAAACATTTAAGTGAATTAAGTCAAACAAAAATCACCTTTTTCAATGTAAATCCCCACAATGCACTTCTCATTCATAGTACTCTCCAAATATGACGATGAGTGTGTGAGAATCTGTGGAGGAGTCTTGGGATGGGAGCAGTGCAGAGACCAGATGTCATTTAGACCAGAGTCCACAGCATACTGAGCTTCATCTTCCTCTGGACTACAGACACTGTCCCCATCATCTGTACGACATGTCAGGTCCAATACAGAGACAGTATCCAGGAACCAAACGGAACCAAATGGGACCTAATGGAACCCAATGGGAGTGAAGGGGGCTCTTTGTATATTTCTATTCAGTGTGTATGTGACTGTTGATACACAATTCAGGCTTTTTTTTTAAATATAACTGCCAAGTTCAAGTCAATAACATATTCTGCATCCTCGTGTTGGTCTTCTTTGTTTTTGTTTTTTTTGTTTTTTTTTGTTTTTTTTACAATACCACAAACATTCAGCCATGTTCATATGTTATTGTGCATTCTGGGATATTTGTGTGACAGTAAAAGTTTATTTTTAAAAGGTGCACTATGTAACTTTTTTGGCAAGGTCCACCTGCTTGTCTCCATGGAGATTTTTTTTTATTTCCCTAGAATTTTCCAGAGAATGGAACTAAATTTATAATAATCTTTATTGCTCAAAATTACGTTGAAAAACACTTTTATTGTGAGTGGGGTAATTTCTTAACAGATTTTATTTCTGTTAGTATGGTGATATCACCTTCTTGTATCCATAGTAATATATACATTGAATGCTATAGTGCGAAACATTCCATGCAAAACAATAACATCTCCATGGAGAAAAGCTGGTAGTAGACCCACCTCTAAAAAAGTTATATAGTGCCCTTTAAAATTTCTTTTGTTACACATTTTTTGTCATAATTTCAGATGGATAGCATGGTCACATGGTTGTTTTTGAGAGAAATGTCTAAACTGAAAATCTGCATACCCCAATTTATTGCCCAAACTGCTACAAGTATTGACATCGTAATTCACTGGAAGACTATGATGCCAGTTTTATCTACTGTCAATCTCGCTTGTTGCATGATTTACATTTACCATAACATGGGCAAAAATATAAAACTGTAAGGAGAATTTGGTGTATTTATTGCAACTGTGAACTTGCCATATGAGCATTTTGTTTTGTAAAAATATTTGATGGCATTTTTGACATGGCATTTTTAATATGTTTAATATGTTTTTTTCTCTATCCTGGATGTAACATGGTTGTGTACATAGGGTCAATATAACCCCTCCTGCAAAGTGTACAGCTCACAAATGTAGCTCTTTTGTCTCTAATGTGTATTTGATTTTATTTAAAAACAAACTGGATAGAAACTGAAGGACAGACATGGCCCATTCTCAGTAGCTCAATTTTCTTTACATTTCAAGCCATAAAGGATGCAGTTGTAAATAGTGTTATGTTTCTTTAGTGTTTATGTGGAACTGCATTTGTGATGTGTTATGTTTCCCTTTTTTATTCTTGTATTATGTTTTTGTACATACACACAGTACTTCATGGGTTCTGAATATGCCGGTATAAAGTTTTGTTTTTTTTCCCTTAAGTATATGTGCTGTCAATTTCACTGCAGAGATTAAGTGCTACTAGGCCTCAGACATTATGCCTTTATTGATCTTTATTGTGATTTCAAAGGGTTTAACGTAATTTACATGTTTAGTAACAGTGACATCTTCATCTTACAGCAGAAGAGACCTTGCCCCAAGTACATGTTGATAAACAGAAGTTTCCATTTGCTTGTTTCCATTTTTATTGCCATACTCTGGAATATTCTAGTCAAAGCAATAACATCTCCTTGGAACTAAACAGATGGCAGACCTTCCCTGGGAAAAGTAACAGAGTACCTTTGTAGCTCCAGATTAATAGATTGAAGAAAGTGACACTTTTATCTTAGGTTTACAAAATCAAAAAAATAAATAAATAAATACAAAAAAAAATCTAAGTCTAATCTTAAGAACACAAACTTTAAACCTTTTGCTCACAGGTGGTACTCACAACTTTATAGCTTGGTCCGCAGTCATATCCTGCTGCAGTCTTTGAGATTGAAGATTTTAAGTCTCATAAGATTCTCCTCACGTCTGTGGTGTGCAATTTTTGTTGCATGTTTAGAAATTGTTTAAGACCGAAAAATCCTGTAATGTGTGGCGGCCTTAAGCAGTTTCTGATTTTACATTTTAAATGTCTTATTTCACTGATGTGTCCAAGTCCAACCGAGCCCAAACATAAGTTCTAAATGTTTGTCCGTGTCTGACCAAGCCCATCGGGTCATGACGTACTTCGATCGAGTTTCCATGCTCTAATCACCACCATGTTCATGAAGGTGTTCCTGCTTACTTTGGCTCTCAGCTACGTGAAAGCCCACTATCTCACTTGTGAGGAGCTGCTTCAACCTTTGGCAGATCCAGACAAGGTACACACTAGATGCTCCACACTTGCATTCATATTGTGCAACTCGCTTAATCAGATTTTTTTTAATTTTTTTTTTTTATCTTCAACACTTAAGATTTCAGGCAAATAAATTATTTATCCTATATCCTTCACCAGTGAGAGGATGTTCGCAGAGCTTTAAGGTGTCAAGAGCACCTGGCTTGACATAAGAGGAACAGGGCTTCTTTAGGAAGTTGCACCGGGAAGACAACATGTAAATACTGCTTTGTTACAACTTGAAATTCAACACAAGTTATAGATAATTATATAAATAATTGTGTCGGCTTTATTTATAGAGCGGGTGAATGCTTTGTTATCATGGGGAGTTACAAAATATTAAAGTTATGTATGAATGTAAGTAAAGTAATGATTTAACTCTTGTACTGCTCAAATAAACTCTTTCTGACTTTGCAATGTTCAGCTGACACAAAACCATATGTTTTACAAAACACTGGAAGATACTTTCAGGGTCTGAACAACTCCACAATCATCTTTGTGGGTGTTACAAAATATTTTCAAGTTAGAAATCATAATCTGGGATTACTTTGGCTCTAATGGGTGAGTTCACACAGGATGAAAAATAATATGAGAAGAAGAAAAAATAAGATAGAATAAGATGTGAATGATTATTTACTCTCTTCAACAGGACGAACTGCTGTTGTGTCTGATGAAGTGCTGGCACATTTTGAAGAGCTGGCAGCACTGTATGCATGGAACTGGATGTCTACTGTCCAGAAATTACTGGTAACAGTCACTATACACTATTATTCTGTGTGAGACCAATTAAAAGACTATATTTTCTCTGTTACAGCCATATGTGGTGCAGATAAAGCCAACTGAAGAGACATTCACCAAGTTACTATCCTAGTTCTAGAGCGCATAAAAATCTAATAAAAATATATAAAAACACTTTGAGCATTCAGATTGTTGTGAGTCTAGTTTCTGTTTGTCAACACAAATAAATTATAATATTTGTTGTCTTTAGACTTGTTCACCAAGTTGAGGGAAAACAAGACATCAAATCAGGTGGCCAGTGTAACTAAAATGTATACTGAAATATTATTATTGCCACTTTCATATATTTCTCAAAAACAAAAGTGGTCCCATAAATTTCTTCAATAGCCTTAGGCAGAGTAACCAAAAGTGGTATATTTAAGTGCTACTAGAGTAATTGTGAGAATATCATTTCAAATTTTAGGTTCATGTAATTACAAAGACAATTAAATCATGAAGTAATTGGACATAAAAGGTATTTAATATTGTCAACATAAAGCTTTTTTCACTTGTAGATGACTGTTACACTCTATTTAAGTATGGTATACTCACTACTCGAAGAACTACAGTTTATTTACTCAACTAAATGTACTTACTTCCCCCTGGCCCACAGCTGCACATAGGCTACACGTGACAAACACTGACACAGAAACAAACATAAACAACTTTAAACGCTATTGTTCAGACAGAAAGTCCCAATGCAGCATCATGTCACAGAGTTATGTGAAAATTTTGATACAACAGATATTTTGTATGGTTCCTCGTTTAAAGTTTGTAACGTTTAGTCATTTATTAGTGAGGCCCACCACATGTCTTTTAGATCCAATTCCCACCACATTTTTAAGTCATTTTATGGATCTTTTATGGATGAGCTTTTAATCATGATGAATTGCTCTCTTCAGACAGAAGTCTTTCATGCTGCCTTCAAAGCAGCAGTGGTGAGGCCCCTGCTGAAGAAGCAGAGGCCTCACCACTGCCGCAGGAGCAATATAGATTTGAATGATTTTAACAACTACTGACCAGTGTCTAACTTACCATTTTTAAGTAAAATTTTATAGATGATCACACCATTTGGGAAAAAAATCTGTTTGGTTTCAGGGTGAACCACAGCACGAAGACTGCTCTGGCAAAGATTTTAACCCTCTCCAGGCAGACGTTGCAGATTTGCAACAGCTAAATTCCAAGTACCTACTTACTCCACATCCATATTTTATGAGCTTTTTTTACTCAGGAGCCTTTTCTCCCATCCATGTTGATAAACATGGACGATGCAGACTGTGCAAGAATGACTACACGCAAACGGCCTGCCAGAAGTGCAAAATACTTTTTTTGTTTACAAAGGATAAAAAAGTCAGGATTGTATATTACTACCCCATATTATAATTTTCCCCAAATATCAGATTTTTCCTGATACTAAAAATTGATTTGAGCCTGAGAGGGTTAAATTATTTTAGAATAAATTACGATTCACAAAAGGTGATTGTGTTGGTTCTACTGAATCTGAGCTTTGACACAGTAGATAACACTATTCTTTTAACTCACCTAAAACACCTTGCCCTCTCCGGTGCTGTTCACAAATGGTTCACATCCTACCTCACAGACAGAACATTTATGGTGAGTGTAGACACATGCTACTCCAAGATCCATAAAATTACATGTGGCATGCCCCAGGACTCCATTTTAGGCCCTGTGCTTTTTAACTTCTACATGCTCCCTCTTGGTGGTGTTATCAGGAAACATGGAATCAACTTCCACAACTATGCAGATGATACGCAGCTTTATATTTCCATGTCTCTCGATGACACCAGATGAATGGATGCTCTTTTTAATTGCATTCTACAAATTAGATCCTGGATAGCAGAAAACTTTCTCCAGCTTAACCAGAACAAAACTGAGTTTTTTGTGCTTACCCAAACTAAGCACAGTGTTTTAACCCATTTCCTCAAGTGACCTGGCTGTCATTTTTGACTCTGATCTGACTTTTATCCCACACCTTAAAAATATCACAAAAATTGGTTTCTATCACCTAAAAACATAGCCAGAGTCCACCCCATTCTCTCTTGGGCCAACACGGAGACACTGGTCCATGCTTTTATCACCAGTCAAATAGACAACTGTAATGCCTTGCTCTCTGGTCTTCCCAAAAAGAGTATTTCAGGTTTACAATTATTACAAAATTCAGCACCACATGTCAGAGGTTGGGAACACATTACAACGGTTTTAAAATCACTGCATTGGCTCCCACTGAGTTTTAGGATCGATTTTAAAGTTCTTTTACTGGTTTTTAAATGTCTTAATGGTCTTGGGCCTTCTTATCTTTCAGAACTGCTTTTACCCTACAACCCCTCATGGACCCTGTGCTCCTCCGGCAGCAGGCTCCTGGTCATTCCCAAAGTCAAGACACACACTCACGGAGAGGCATCTTTCCAGTACTATGGCCCCCATCTATGGAACAGCCTGCCAGAGGACCTCAGGGCTGCAGAGAACGTTCATGTTTTTAAGAGAACGCTCAAGACCCATCTTTTCAGCTTAGCAGGCATGTTTCCTCTGTAGGAGCCCTTTGCATCAGGAGTGGAGGTGGGCTGCGGCTGCCAGGTCTGTCCCGTGGGCTCCTGGTGGAGGGTTGGTGTTTGGGCTTCATCTCTCCCCTAGGCCCTGTGGCAGTTCCTGGTGGGGGCGGATGGCTCTCTGCTCCGGATGTAGACGGCTCCTCTGATGGTGCTTTCTCAACTGGTTCGCCTGTACTCAGCCTCACATTTTACTATGTGTGGTTTTATGTATTTTAATATGTTAGTGTGTGTGTGAGCGCATGTTTGTGCATGTGTGCGTGTGTGCCTGGGTTGTTTGGTTGTGTGGGGTCGGGCAGCTGTGGGGTTTGGGTAGGTGGGTGAGCGGAAGGAAATGTGGGATTGTTTTTAATCACTGAAAAGTGCTTTATAAATAAAGTTTGGTTGATTGATTGATTACCAACTTCTGCGTACTGTATTCATTAGTTCAGATGTCAGCTTATTTAATGATCAATTCTTCTTGATTCTGTTCTTAAAAGGGACATTACAATAAATTTGGACAAGGATTTTGAGTAAATATGTATATCATATTTTACCATCTGATACTGTGTATATTTTAGCTACAACAGGTACGGCACTAGCTGTACAAAAAATAATAGCTAATCTCTTTATCTTTAGAACACTATGAACTTACTTTTATCACTTTGATCACAGTGGGCTGAAATGTAGCAGTCACTGATCCGTTTGGTATAAATATGTCTTCAGATCAGACCTCTGTACAGACCTGCTCAAGAGACCACCACCATGTACATGAAGGTGTTCCTGCTTACTTTGGCTCTCAGCTACGTGAAGACCCACTATCTCGACTGTGGCGACCTGTTTCAACCTATGTTAGATGGGTACAAGGTACACACCATACTTTTATGTTTGAATCCATCTTGTGTTTTCCATCTTGTGCTGTCCATCTAGCGTAAATAATTCTTTTTTTATACATATATATTTGAACACTTAAGGTTACGGGCAAATG